AGCTTGTGCGTTGCAGGCTTCTTCTGAAGTGCACCCTTGCAGGCTGCTCTGTCCAGAGACCTGCCTCAGATTTGAGCCCTTTCCAGCCTGGGTGGTGGATAGCTTTGTAGCTGTGCTACCCAGCCCTAGAGAGTGTGGCCAGAAGAGATGCTAGGTAGAGAGGCACATGCTCATGGAGACATAAATGTATGTGTAACTGAAATAATGTTTAAACTCCATGAGTAGGAAGGGAATATCCTCAAGCCTAAAAACTTACTGGCACTAAGAAAACCGAGACCTTTTGAGCACAGAAGCTGGGAACTAGTCCTCAAAGCAAGGTTTTCCTTTCCAAGTAGGTGAGTCACACAGAGAAGTAATTGGCAGACAATGAAGAAAGTAGTTACTTAGGCTCAGCCATGGTGGCATTACAGCCCAGGACACTAGGCCTAGGACGAGGTGGCCAGGGACACCATGTTTGACAGGAATTATGGTACTTACAAGGAGTATTTATCCTTTATTAAAAGAATGGACTCTTCCTTTAAAAACCTATTTGGGCAAGTGGACAAGTATGGTGCATAGTAATCTGGAAGCCCAGGGGTCATTTGAGACTTTTTTCTCCTTCCCTCCACAAGCCTAATTCATCGCCAAGTCCTGTGATTCCACTTTGTAGATTATCTGTGACATCCACACCCAAAGCTTTGACCTGAATTGGTATTTTAACGTATATTTTCATCATTTCTTTCCCAGAATATGGCAGCAGCCTGTTAGTTGGCTGTTCTGTCTCCTGTTTGCCCTCTTATCTGTCTCCCACAGAGCCTCTAGGAAGATTTTTCTGAAACACAAATAGGATCATGTCAGGATCCTTCAGCACTGCCCTGTTCCTAGCTCCCCTGCCCACTGTTCTCCCGCCCCACCCGCCCCTCACTCTCCTCCCTGCCTGTAGCTCCTCTCCCCACCCTGTCTTTGCCGCTGCCTGGAATATGCTTCTTTCCTCGTCCACTGAGTAAACCCCTGTTAGGAGGCCCAGACCAAATGTCTTCTCTGTCACACCTTCTCCAGCCTTCTCCTGCATATCCATCGAGGGGGTGAGGCTTCTCAGCCATGCCTGGAGTGTAGTCTCAACCATGGTACGTTGCATACTGGATTTCTGAGTCTAATGTCCCTCTCACCCCAGAGTAAGCAGGAAAATGGAGATCACAGTTAGTTTATCTCTGCAGGCCTAGCTCCTGGGAGGGTGCTAGGCACATAGGAGTTCAGTAAGTGTGTGTTGATTGCCTGATTATAGGAGATAGAAATGAGAGGATGGGGACTTAGTCCGCGGAAGAAGCAAAGGGCTGGGAGAGTGGTTTATCTCGTATCTTTTATCAGCAGAAGCTCGTAATGTGTTCTGGCTGTAGTCTTGACTGAGGACAGCCTGCTGCGGAAGCCCTCCCTTCTCCTATCCTCTGATCTTATCCATCGGAGAAATATGGTTGGCCTGGCTGTGAAATGAACACCTGCTTCTGTGTACAGCCCTCACCCCAGTTACCTGATAAACCACTAATTTATTTACATTTTTCATAAATGTAGCCACAGATACCATGAAAAGTCACCCCTCCCTCCTTCCACCATCCTCAGCTACTTACCAGCCTTTGTGCAGCTTCCAGTGGCAGTTCTTTTTCTATAGGTTCTTCACCATTACTGAGTAATCAATCGCTTCATCCGACTCAGAGCCGGGTTTTCCAGAGTCACATGCTACACTCTTCCTAATGTCCCACGTGGTCCATCTTCTTTGCTGGTGCGTTCCTCGCTGCACTGCTCTCACCCGAGTGAGGGACCAGCGCCCTCAGCCATTGCTTCCTCCCTGCACCGAGCTTGCTCTCATCAAACTGCTGGATGACGGGAGAAGCAGCTTCACCCAACAGGACCTCAGTCTCGTGGCAAAAACATACTTAAGAAAAATACCGAGTTACTGGAAGATGGGAACAATGGAAGCATACAGGGGAGCTTGACAAATGAGTTGAGGAAGTCTCCTGGGAGGAGGTGACATTGGAGCTGGGCCTTGAAAAGTAAGCAGGTGTCCTCAAGGAAGAGCGGGGCATGCGAGGCAGAGGACATGGCAGAAGTAAAGGCCTGTGGGTATGAAAAGGCATGGCAGGCCTGAGAGAGTAAGGATTGGTGTGGCTGGGGGAGGGAGATTCCTGACTCTATGGGGCCTGCTTCTGAACTGAGGCTTGGTGGGAGCTGCGAGTGCTCCCTGCAGCTGCTCCCGGGGCCCCGCTCTGCCCCACAGGTGCTTCCACGGCTGAGCGAGGTTCCCAGGGCTGTTGGCACTCCCGCCCACTCCCACCCGCTCAGGCGGGTGGCATCCCAGAAGGAAAGAGGCAGGGGAGGAAGCAGATAAGAAAGACAGCTTCTGTTTAGACACAAATATCTTGGTAATCAGCACAGATGGGATGAGAAATACCAAAAAAAGTACATGACAGTTTAGAGAGAATTTGGCTAAATGTTACATATTTTTAACATACCTGTGTAGAGTTTTTGGAACAAGCACCTGAGTTGCTCAGAATCTGATTGGAGATGGGGAACATGCCTCAATCAAATGGTGTTTTTATTTCAGAAATGTTCCCTTCTCCATCCACAAAAGTATCCTTGTGGTTTTTTTTTTCTCCCACCAAAATAAGGCGCAGGATTTGTCTCTGACGCTGTGTCTCCCTATTTGGACGGCAAGCTGTGTAACATATTTCTCCCCAGCGTGAAGCTTCTTGGCAGACTCTTGAGGCCACGTTTTGGTGGCTTCAGAGTTATCTTTGGATCTGTCAAAAGTGCTAATGGGCTTTCTGGCCTTCTTTAAGCTCCTCATTTCTATTTTCTTTTTACTTCCATCCTCTCCTAAAAGAAAAATTCATGTAATTCATCAGCAGTTAAGCTTTTTACCGAAATGCTCAGTGAAGGGCCTCGTATTTTTGTTTGTGAGGAGAGCTGTGCCATGTCACCATCTTCAGAGCAAACCCCACCCTTACATCATTAGCTCTGTGTTCCTCCGTCCAGTGGAGGAACCAAGATACACTGGTTGACTCCTTCTGACTGCCTTTGGTGTTTGCTGTTTTGTTTTTCACTGAGTTTGTTAAGAAGCAAGTTGGTATGATGGTTAGGGTATGAGTTTCGGATTGAGGAGATGTAGTTTTGAAACATGGCTCTGCCCTTTCTAGCTGGGTGACCTTTAGAAGTCTACTGAGACTTCCTGAGGCTCTGTTTTTTTTTTGTTTTTTTTTTTTTCCCTCATCTATAAAATGGAGATGATAATGCCTGTCTCAGGCTTGTTGGGAAGATTGGAAGGAACACCTGTTGCCTGCCACATACAGATCACTCCGTGAATGGGGTAACAGTAACTTTTAACAGAAGCATTTCCCTTTCTTTAGGCATACTTGATCTTGTTTTGTTTCTTTTTCCAAATATGAGTTTTACCTACAATTTTGTGTGGAATACAAAGAGCCTGGATTTAGAGACAGACCCACTCAGGACTGAATCATGTCACATCCACTTACCTCATGACCTTTGTCAAATTATACAACTTCTCTGTGCCACTGTTTTCTCATCTTTATAGAGGGATAATAATACTTAGTTCAAGGAGCAGTTTGAAGATTAAGTGAAATGTTTAATAATAGATGTGAACCTTTCCCATGGTGGATGTGCGTAAGAGGGACAATGTGGTGTAAGGGAAAGCATATAGGCTGTGGAGTCAGATCTGCCAGTTACTGACCTCTCCCAGACTTCTTTATATTGGAAAGAATAACGCCTCACTGGATTTTTGTGAAGATTGCACAATTACACATCCACAGTGTCTGGTACAGTGGCTGGCACTTGAGAGGTAGTTAGTATATAGAGCTATTAATTCAGTTGCTCTGTATTTATAAAGGTTGATAGTTAACCTGGTACTTCAGTCAAACAATAATAAATTATAAGATAAGTGCCCAGTTTTACTCCCAGCCCATAACATTGTTGAAAAGCACTTTATGCTATTTTGCATGTAAAATCCACCTGGTTTACTTCAATTTATGGGTTATAGATCTTTAATCATTATAAACTGCAACCCCTGGCAATAGCATTCCTTCCCTCCCCAACCCCTTTCATTTTCAGAGGATTATATTGTGTGGCATTGAAAACCTGTAACATTGAAGAAATTAGCATATTCATGTGTATTGTTAAAGTCAGGTGGGTATAGAATGCATTGTATAAATGAAACACTTTCCATTTTTTTTCTGAAATCTGAAGAGTACCAATCTATAGTACTAATTAAAAGAATAAAGCCCAGGCTACAGGGGGGAAAAAAAGCTAGTTAAAACACTGCTTTGTCACAACTTGCTGCTGTTTGTCTTCATTTTTTTCCCCCCTTTTGAATGAAATACCTGGAAATTGTAAATGTTCAAAATTGCCTTAATTCCAGCTGAGCCGTTTTAGCGAATGTGAACTGTGAAGGAGGGGATACCAGCAGTGATGACAGGAGAGGAGCTCGCCTGGCCTTCGTGGGTGGCATCTCCTGGACAGAAACAGGCTCAGTGCCAGAAGCATTTTGGTCCCTGGGTACTTTGTTTTGCTTAGGCATATGGCACAGCACATCGGGAAGGTTCTAGGATCTGGGGCCCAAAGATTTGAGCAGCAGTCCTGTCTTCATTACTTATTAGACTGTTCCATCTTGGAGAATCTCTCTGAGTCTTGGTATCCTCATTTGTAAGATACATGTAGAATTCCTGTTCTGCTCACCTTTAGGAACTGACCTAAGTGCTGTATGCAACCTCATGTTGTAATCACCACACAAAGATGTAATTGCTCAGGCTCCTTCCTCTCTAAGGTGTCTTCCAACTTTACAGTTCATGATTTTACACATGAGGGGGATTTGGCCTCCGGGCTAGAAAGAAAAGGATAGGGAAAGAAGAGAGTATACTTTCTGATTATTTTCTGTTTCTTATGCTCTTATTAGATACTGTTATAATAAGAAGAAACAAAATCAGCCACAAACCGTGCCTTCTTCTTTCTCCTAGAGAAATCTGACAGAATATTTTGTGGCTGTGGATGTCAACAACATGTTGCATCTGTACGCCAGTATGCTGTACGAACGCCGAATACTCATCATTTGCAGCAAACTCAGCACTGTGAGTAGACAGTCTTAAGACTGACTTTTTAATGATCTAATTTTAATTGAAAGATACATCGGCAAGATGAAAGAAGATTTTAGGAAAAGGAGTCAGCTACAGTCCCTTTATATGGCAGCATGTCATTTTCATTAATTGTTCATGTTTTTTTTACAGTGTCAGTGCACATTTCATTTATTCCTGTAGTCTCACAGTCAATTATAAATAGCTTTCCATTTGATTGAGTGTTATGAACATGTTGCAGATTTCTACATGAGCTTCGATTATTGTCATTTTTTAATGTCTACACCATATTTCATGATACAGATGTGTCATTATTTACTATATCATTCTTCTTTTGATGGCCATTTAGGTTGTTCATTATGATTTAATCCTTTTAGTAGATAATAGTGCAGTGAACATCTTTTGGCTTCTTTTGACTGTTGCAGTTATATTCCAAGGAGTGGGACACCAGGTCACAGGACTTGATAAGCACTATTATTTAGGGACTGCTAAATTGCTTCCCAAACGGGCGGTGCTTGTTTACAGTGAAGGCTGCCAGCTGTAGATGAGTGCACCATTTTCACGGCAGCTTTGCCAGGAAAGAGAGAGAGTGCGTGCGTGTGCTCAGGTGTTTTAATTCTGCTAAGAAAATAGATATGTTATGGTATTTCAGGCTTGCTTTAATTTTAAAATTACATCTTTGGTTAGAGGTAACTGAATATTTTCCATGGGTTTTTTTTTTATTTGTATTTTGTTAATATCCTTTCACATTTATTTTATAGGTGTCTTGATGTTTTTTTATAAATTATAATGAACTTTCTATATAACTTTTGCTGTGTGTATAATATAAATATTTTTATATTCCTTTTATTTTAGTTTTTCACTTGCTAAGTATAAGAGTTCACATTTTCCCCAATAGTTTTTATGAAAATTCTTAAGCTATTATAGAAAGTTGAAATAATTTTACAGTGAATGCTGATATACTTCCATCTAAATTCTACTAGTGACATTGTGCCAGTTGCTTTATCATGTATTTATTCAACTATTCATCATCCATAGCATCCATTAGTCCATCTTTTTTTTTCTTTTTTTGAGACAGAGTCTCACTCTATCACCCAGCCTGGAGTTCAGTGGCGCTGTCTCGGCTCACTGCAACCTCCACCTCCCAGGTTCAAGTAATTCTGTTGCCTCAGTCACCCAAGTAGTTGGGATCACAGGCACGCACCACCACACTCAGGTAATGTTTGTGTTTTTAGTAGAGATGGGGTTTTGCCATGTTGACCAGGCTGGTCTTGAACTCTTGACCTCAAGTGGTCCACCCACCTCACCCTCCCAAAGTGCTGGGATTGCAGGTGATCCATCTTATTTTTTATGCATTTCAAAGTAAATCACAGGTGTCACTTTACTTTCACCTAAATAATTCAATATCTGTTTGCTGGGTTTATTGTTGTTTTTGTTTGTAGACAAAACTTATACACAGAAATTGACTGGAGGTAGAATGCCTAATAGGCATCCCTCTGTTAGAGAGAGTAGAAAAATATTTTCATAAGCAGAGAGTTCCCTAATGAAGGGCCTGTGGATAAAGTCAGTTACGTGTTTATCTGTGAATAAAAGGCACCTGATAATGAAAACTCTCTGAGACTACTAGAGTTTTCCTTATGGTTTTTATTATACCTTCATCATTTTATTATTTCTTTGGTTATTGATTACTTATCAAGAACTCAGTTTTTTGTTTGTTTGTTTTTTATTGCCCACTATGTGTTAAGAATAGCCTATAGTCGACCTCTTGCTTTGTTTTACATTTTATTTTACACCATACTTGCAGTTCATAATTTTAGGGCACAAACACCCAGACTGTTTCAGAATGAGAATATTGTCAACCACATCAATCATCACCTCTTTAAAAGAGTCTAGTCCATAACCAGTTGCTGTTGCTTTAGATTGTTAAATTTCAGTCAACAAAAACGTGACATCATCTCAGTGGAACCGAATTCCCTATCATTTAATCATGATGTTTTTGATCCCTGACTGTGTGCCATGCACTGTCCTAAACACTTTTCATGTATTAACTCATTTAATCCTTAATACAACAGCCTTAGTGGGTTCTGTAATTACTTCCATCTTACACATAAGGAAGAATGAACCTTCTGTGTGATTTTGCTCTCATCAATGTAGTGGATTAAACACACAAAGTTATTTCTGCTTTCTCCCAAAACTAAAATGAAATAAAGGAATAAATCTACAAACACAAAGAACAGATGCAGCAGAAATTTTTAAAATAATAAGAAAATACTGTTAGCAACTTTATGCCAGCATTTGAAAACTAAGGCAAAATAGAAAAAAATAATTTAGCAAAGTTGACTCCAGAAGAAATAGAAAAATTAAATAGGTTATTTAACTTACAGAAATTGAATCAATATCTTTACATATTTTTCCAGATAAAACACTCATCCCAGGTGGTTTTACAAGTGTGTTTTATCAAACATCTCAAGGAAAAGATTATTTCAATCTTAGACAAACTCCTTAAGAGTCTAGAACAAGAGGGAATGAAACCCAGCTTTTCCTGCGACACTTGTATAACCTTGACATTCAACACAGAGATAGCACAAGAAAGAAAAATCAGCGGCCAATGTCACTGATTAATGTAGGGGTAAAAATCCTCAAATAGGAAGCAAATGATTGATGATACTAGAAAATCTATTAATATAACTTACATATTAACATATTAAATGGGAAAACTTTTATGGTCCTCAATAGAGGGACAGAAAGCACTACCATGTTCATGAATAAGAAGACTTAATATCTTGAAGATTTTATTTCATTTCAAAATGATGTATAGATTGTATACAATTTTGTTCAAAACCCCCATAGGGTTTTACATAGTGCCTGACAAGCTAATTCTAAAATTAATATGGAAAAGCCAGAGAAAGAGCCACAACATACTTGACAAAAAAGAATGGATTGTGGAAGCTTGCTTTACCAGATATCAAAACTTTCTATAAAGTTGTAGTAATTACAATGCTAGTACTGGAATGAGGATACACATATGGGCTGATGGAACAGAATAGAGAGCCCAAAAACAGATCACATGTATATGGGCTCTTTCTATCATAAAAGGTGGCATTGCAGAATCTCTGGGGAATCAATGGACTTTTCAATAATTGGCTGTCCACATGGGAAAAAAAGGAAGACAGTTTCTATTGTACACACACAAAAATAAATTCCAAATGGATCAATAACTTAAATGTGAAAGGCAAAATTTAAAAACATTTAGAAGACAAAATAGAATACTCCTTGATGATCTTTGGAGTAGAGAAGGGCTTATTTAAAGATGGTCCAAAATATACATTGTATAAAATAAAATATTAAAATTGTGAACTTTTATTCATTAAAAGATACTTTTCTGTGAAAATGACTGAAAAGTCACAAGCTGAGATTTGCCGTATAGAAAAACTGACAGAAAATTAGTATAGGAAATAAGTACAGAACTATGACAATTAAAAAAGACAAACCTGTCAATAGAAAAATTGGCAAAAGGCATGAATTAGCATTTCACAGATGAAATACAAATGGCCAACATCTATATGGAAAGATAGTCAATCACAGTAGTAATCATCAAAAAGCACATTAAAACTACAGTGGATTATGTCTGGGCACAGTGACTTACACCTGTAATCCCAACATTTTGGGAGGCCAAGGTGGCAGGATTGCTAAAGGCCAGGAGTTCAAGACCAGCCTGGGCAACATAGTGAGAGCCCTGTCTCTACAAAGAAAATTAAAAATCAGCGTGGTAGAATGTGCCTGTACTCCTAGCTACTTGGGATGCTGAGGCAGGAAGATCACTTGAGCCCAGGATCATGGCTTTGCAGTAAGCTATGATCATACTACTTCACTCCAGCCTGGACAACAGAGTGAGACCTTGTCTCTAAAAAAAACAATCAAAACCAACAGTGAAACCCTAGGTTTGCAAAAAATTTGGTGGCTGACAAAGCCAGGTGTTATATTGGAAATGTATTAGAGAATGTCATTTACTACTGTTTGAAAGGTATGTGCTACAAAACTATTTACATATGCCCATCACTCAGCAATTCTACTCCTAGGTGGAATTTTATGTGTATACACAAACCCCTTGGTCATGTATGGTGGGATACATGTACAAAAATGTTCACAGGGGCTTTTTTTGGGTTTTATTTAAATCCTGGAAATAGTTCTCATGACTACCAAGAGAACTGATAGACTGTGGTGTAGGCACACAGTGGAATATCGATCGGATCAATGAGATGAACTGTACTGTCAATATGATTATGATTCTAATGTAGAAGCTGAGTGAGGAACTGGGTTGCACAAAGATAGACTGTACAGTATGATTTCATTAATATAAAGTTCAAGCTAGAAAAACTAAATGGTATCTTGTTTGGGATTCACACAAACTACAAAGGTAAAAAGAAATAGTTAACACAAAATTTAGGTAATGGTTTCCTCACAGGAAGAGAAAAGACTGGTTTGGGAAGGGTCATGCAACGGACATCAAAGTTTTGCTTTCTGTCTTAAGCCAGGTGAGGAACCAACACATTTTGCTATAAAGGGCCAAATAATAAATATGCCTTTGCAGGTCATATGATCTTTGTTGCCACTGCTGGGCTCCGACCTTGTAGTTGACCAGAGTTAAACTACTGTGTGTGATTGTGTGCCAACAAAGCTTTATTGCCAAAAACAGGCCGCAGGCCAGGCGATGCCTTTTTGCTGTAGTTTGCTGACCCCTGAGCCAGGTGATAGGTTTGGGGCTCTTACATTTTTTTTCTTTAAAAGTTGTTTATATGACATACATACTTAATATATTTCAAAAATTTTTAGAGGCCTATAAAGAAGGTACAAAGCTCCTTTTTCATGAAATTTTAGAATATCAGAGATAGAGACAAAGCAGTTCTTGTACAAAGATTAAGAATCAACATTGCCTGAGATTTGGCAGTGGCAGTTCTGGAAACCAGAAGACAGTGAAGCAGTGTCTTGACCTTCTA